GCCTGGTACCATGCCAGAGAGAATCACGTCAAAAAATGAATCCTTGTGAGCAGCTGGAAAACAAGAAGGGGGAAGACGGTTCAATTTTATATATTTACACACAGACCTTTGCTTAACACATCAGTTTCACCTCCCTCCTCATCCCTCATGCTTGTGTCCAACAGCAACAACTGATTAAAGACACCATAGGAAGCAAGACTAGGGTATATCACTTCCTTTGCTGTACTGCTGGTGGTAAGAGTTAGCAGTATTGTTCTGAGTGCTCACTTACAAATCACGGAAGAAAACAGAATCACAGACTAGTTTGGGTTGGAAGGGAGCTTACGGCACATCCAGTTCCAATGCCCCTGGCATGGACTAGATCAGGTTGCTCCAAGCCCTGTCCAACCTGGCCTTGAACACTGCCACAGATGGGGCAGCCACAGCTTCTCTGGGTAACCTGTGCCAGGGCCTCACCACTCTCACAGGAAAGAGCTTCTTCCTAAGATCTCATCTCAGTCTCCCCTCTGTCAGGTTAAAGCCATTCCCCATTGTCCTGTCCCTACAGGCCCTTGTCCAAAGCCCCTCTCCAGGTTTCCTGTAGCACCTTTAGGCACTGGAGCTGCTCTAAGGTCTCCCCTTAAGGAGTCTTCTGTTCTCCAGGCTGAACAAGCCCAGCTCTCTCAGCCTGGCTCCAGCCGTTGCAGCATCTTCATGGCCTCCTCTGGACTCACTGCAACAGCTCCACGTCTCTCTTGCTTTGGGACCCCAGAGATGTCAGCTCACACAACAGAAGCACCCTCTCCCTTTAATGAAAGGGTAAAAAATGAAGCTAATTCTTACACTGAGACAGCTGGTTGACATTTTCCACAGACACACGATTACCAGCTCCCACCAGTGCCTGAATTTTATCCACCAAATCCTTCAGGGCTTCAACGGGCGAGGAGCTATCACAGATGATGGCCACGTGCTGGCCTGGTGCGACTCCGTACTCCCCCATGTCCACAGCAGAAGCAAACCTAACAGCAGCAACGGGTCGGGAGGGACACAGAGGAAGGGTTATTGTCAAGCTCAGCACAAACATCTGTGGACTGTCTTAATCACAGAACACTGACTTCTTTTAGTAAATGGAGATTATTTTCTGGAGACAGGCAGTACAGTTCCCCCAAGCTGAGCATTAATATAACATTCAGAAATAGCTACACTCAAAGGCGTAATTCAGTTTCTCTCCAGTTAAGGGGCTAGTTTGCTGGGTGACTGCAGGCCATGCCTAAAAAAAAAAATAAATCAAACCAAACCCCCCAAAATGCCCCCAAACCAAACTAAATAACAACAAAAAACTTACTTGCTTTCCTTAAAGATTTTAATAGAGACATACACAGGATTTAGAATCACAGAATAGTTAGGGTTGGAAAGGACCTTCAGATCATGTAGTTCCAACCACCCTGCCATGGGCAGGAATGCCTCACTCTAAACCACATCACCCAAGGCTCTGTCCAACCTGGCCTTGAACACCACCAGGGATGGAGCATTCACAACTTCCCTGGTCAACCCATTCCAGTGTCTCACCACCCTAACAGGAAAGAACTTCTTCCTTATGTCCAATCTAAACTTCCCCTGTTTAAATTTTAACCCATTACCCCCTGTCCTACCACTACAGTCCCTAATGAACAGTCCCTCCCCAGCATCCTTATAGGCCCCTTTTAGATACTGGAAGGCTGCTATGGGGTCTCCAGACAGCCTTCTCTTCTCCAGGCTGAACAGTCCCAACTTTCTCAGCCTGTCTTCATACGGGAGGTGCTCCAGTCCCCTGATCATCCTTGTGGCCCTCCTCTGGACTTGTTCCAAAGTTCCATGTTCTTTTTCTGTTGAGGACACCAGAACTGCACACAATACTCCAAGCGAGGTCTCACAAGAGCAGACTAGAGTAGAGCAGCAGGATCACCTCGACCTGCTGGCCACGCTTCTATTGATGCAGCCCAGGATGCAGTTGACTTTCTGGGCTGTTGGCACACACTAAAGCTGGCTCATGTTAAGTTTCTCACTGACCAACACCCCAAGTCCTTCTCCACAGGGCTGCTCTGAATCTCTTCTCTGCCCAACCTGTAGCTGTGCCTGGGGTTGCTCCAACCCAGGTGTAGGACCTTGCACTTGGCATGGTTAAACTTCATAAGGCTGGCATCAACCCACCTCACAAGTGTGTCAAGGTCCCTCTGGATGGCATTTCTGGATTTCCAGACTAGCAACAACTTTTTCATCACAGAATCCCAAACTGGTTTGGGCTGGAATGCACCTCAAAGCTCATCCAGTTCCAACCCCCTGCCACGGACAGGGACACCTTCCACTAGACCAGGTTGCTCCAAGCCCCATCTAACCTGGCCTTGAACACTGCCACAGATGGGGCAGCCACAGCTTCTCTGGGTAACCTGTGCCAGGGCCTCACCACCCTCACAGGAAAGAACTTCTGCCTAAGATCTCATCTCAGTCTCCCCTCTGTCAGGTTAAAGCCATTTCCCTTGTCCTGTCCCTACAGGCCCCTGTCCAAAGCCCCTCTCCAGCTTTCTTGTAGCCCTTTTAGGCACTGGAGCTGCTCTAAGGTCTCCCCTTAAGGAGTCTTCTGTTCTCCAGGCTGAACCAGCCCAGCTCTCTCAGCCTTTCTCCAGAGCAGAGCTGCTCCAGCCCTTGCAGCATCTCTGTGGCCTCCTCTGGACTTGCTCCATGTCCCTCTTGTGTCACTGCCCCAGAGCTGTACACAGGAGTGCAAGGAGGTCTCCCCAGAGTACAGCAGAGGGGGAGAATCCCCTCCCTAACCTGCTGCTCATGCTCTTGGGATGCAGCCCAGCACATTGGGGGGATCCGTGTTCAAGCACACAATGAAGCCAGGTCACGGGGAGCCGGGTCATCGCAAGCTTCTCATCACCCAACACCCCCAAATCCTTCTCCTCAGGGCTGCTCCATCCAGTCTCCCCCAACCTGTAGCTGTGCTTGGGACTGCCCTGACCCAGGGGAGACTTTGCGCTTAGCTTTGCTGACCTACATGAGGTTCTCATGGTCCCTCCTCTCCAGCCTATCCAGGTCCCTCTGTATCTCATCCCTTTCTCCAGCGTGTCAGCCATACCACACAACTCGGTGTCACCACAAACTTGCTGACGGTGCTCGATCCCACTGTCCATGTCAGCGATAAAGTTGTTGAACTACGACCCCCAAGGAACACCACTTGTCACTGATCTCCACTTGAGCCACTGACCACAATTCTCTGAGTACGACCACCCAGCCAATTCACCAGGTGGTCTATCCATCAATACCATGTCTCTCCAGTTTAGAGACAAGGATGTTGTGTGGGACAGTGTTGAACTGTACAAGTCCACAGAGATGATGTCAGTCACTCTTCCCTTATCCACCAGTGCTATGGTCCATCACAGAGGGTCACCAAATTGGCCAGGCACAACTTGTCCTTAATAAAGCCACAGCAGCTGTCGCCAGTCACCCCCTTAGTGTCTATGTGCCTCAGCACGGTTTCCATTTGACATTAAACACTGCCTTGTCTCTCCCACTCAGGAGAGACCTGACCTAGCAGAATCTGCCTCTGCAGCACATGAGGGGAAAAGAAGAAAAGCAATTTTCAGCCTTCCCAGCATTCCAGACTGAGACTCTCGACTCATGGGTGACACTGTGTGAGCAACTGCACAGAGGGGAACAGACAGTGACAGCTTTGAGAAACCTGTGTGCACCAGTATTTTATAAAAAATTGCATTCCTTACAGAGCCTGCTGAAAATCCACACTCTAGCAGTGTCATAATCACCTGTACTCACAGCAGCACCAGCTACAGGAACAATCACCGAGTCTCTTTCACTCTGCACCTCCAATACAAACCTGTTTTCCTTCCCATTTAACACAAGCACACAGAATAGGGAGCACAAGTGAGCACACCAGCTGCCCAATATACCTTCAATCGGCTACAAGCCACATGCTTGCTTTGTAACAGCCTGTTGTAAGTAAAGTTGTCACCAGAAGTCATTACATTACACACTCTGGGTAGTGTCTTATTGCCACCATGTTGTCATGAAAGCATATCTTATGGGTACCTGTGCCAGATTCAACGCAGTTGCCTGCAGTCAGGTGTAGAGTGGATTTTGACCCACGGTTCCTCTGGTTCTATGTGCAGTGGACCCCTCTCTCCTGGAAACTGCAAACATGTTCAGAACAGGACAACTCTGCACCTTGTCTGACCCACTCTAGTAGGAATTTGTGCTAATGCAGCCCACAACACCATTCAATTAAGGAATGGAAGATCTTGGTTATGAGCTCCTGGTTACAGCACCTCCCAGTTGGCCTTGCACACATATGCAACACAAGCTAAGCAACTACAACAGCCAGTAACACTAGTAACCACACATATAAATCCTAGTAAAATGCCATCTTTCCTAGGAAGATGGCCAAAAACCTCAAAAGATACAAAAGCTGTTAGGGTAACGTGGCAAAGCTGAATTCAAAGATGCACCTTCCTCCCACAACAGCAAGTTGTGACCTTTCAATACCAGTCCAGGGCCCAAACTGCATCAACAGAACACCAGCCCACTTACCACACCGAAGAGGACTCCTGCCTTACACCACCTTGTGCCACGCAGGGAGGAGGCCCAAGGGCTGGGCCCAGCATAAAGAAGACTTTATCTGAATTCCACACACATTTACCAGCCCTTAAGGCACACCACTGCCCAAAACAGGGCAAGGAGAGGGCTGCAAATAATACTGGAGGTTGCGAGCTTCAACAGATTAAAAAACAAGATACGGGAGGGAATGTCACGAAGGAATGTCACACGGGAATTCCCTGACACACACCCCCTCCATCCCGCCCGCCCGCCCGCAGCGGCCGCCCCAGGCGCAGCCTCCGGAAATCCTTTTTAAAGGGGAAAACGGTAATCTCGGCCTCCAAGCAGGTGTCCCCGTGCCGGTCCCCGTCCCTAGTCCCCCAAGCCGCGCACGACTTACCTCAGCTCAGCTCAGCTCGCCTCGCGTCATCCCGGTCTGACGCCGTCACAGCCGCGTCCCGGCGCCGTGACGTAATCCCGCTGCTGCCCGCTTCCAAGATGGCGGCGGCGAAAGGCCTACGGCTGGCTGGCTGGCGTCTTTGGCGGGGCCGCGCCGGTGAGGGGCGGGGGGAGCGCGGCTTGGTGGGTGGGGAGACTGCGTGCTCGTCCTCGTGCCACCGTGACTGGGCCAGGGCCGGGGCCGGGGCCGGGGCCGAGGCCCGGGCCAGGCGGCAGGGCGGGGCGGGGCCGGGAGGAGCGAGGAAGGTGATGCGAAGGGCAGAGGAGCGGCGCCGCTAGGGGGCGGTACGGGGTTGTGTAGTCGCGCCAGGCCTAGGCCTACTCCCAGGCGCAGCCTGAGGCCCATCCTCAGCCCCAGCTCCAGGCTCAGGCTTAGGTCTGGTCCCGCCTGAGGCTGGTGTCTGTGGACCCTGGTCAGGCAGGCTGGAGACACGTAGCCTGCCGCAGGGGTATGCTTGGGGAGTGAAGCCTCTTTCACCTTCCAGGCCCTGAAACTGCACAAGGCGTTCGAGGGGACTGGGGGCGGGGTTGAGGAGAAGTTAGGTGGTGGTTAAGTGTGGGCTGTGCAACCCAAGCTTATTGCAGTTCAATTATGAATTCTCACAGAGCAGCCGTAATCAAGAGCTGTGTGACCTTTGAGTCACCTGAGAAGCACGCGTCGTGATCTCAGTTGTTTCTGTTAACATTGCTGGGATATTACCAAGGGTCAGTGCCTTTCTCTTAACTTCTCTCATTCCTCCCCTTTGTCAGGGACCAAAAAAGAGAGTGGTCATGCTGCAGGGCAGTCAGGGAATGTTTGTGTGCCTGGTTTCCAGTTCAAGACTGGGAAACTCATTTCTGTTTGCTATATGTGCCGTCTGCACAGTTCTTTTCCTCACAAAACATTTTCACTTTATTTTCACCAAGTAAATGTGAGCTCAGCTGAGAGGGATGCTTCTCAGAAGTGTAAAAAGACACTTTCTACACATTTCTGTTCTTTTCATCTGGATTTACCACAGCTCTCTGCTTCATCTTAATTTTCTGTGCTTCCTTGTATTGGAAAAAGACATTTGAACCTTGGCTTCCCTTTCAGCGCTCCAGTGCCAGCTCTACCCACCACAGCGTGCTCTCCAGGCCTCAGCTGTGCTGAGGAGTGTCTTTGATGAGCAGAAGGAGCCACTGGCATCGTCTTCTCAGCATCAGTTCGATTCACATCCAGCTGATCACCAGCCTGAGCAGGAATGTCAAGGCCGTTGTCCCAGGTAACTCACTAGCTATTTCTAGTGCAGTCCTGCCAATAGACTTTGGTTTCCTGAAACTTGCATAGAAGCTTGAAGACAACGAGATCCAGAGTTAATGAAGCCTCAGACTGCAGCAACTGGAGAGCTGATTTGCTGAGACAGTGCAAATTCCACTGTCCGATGTGGAGACAGGATGGAACTTACTTTCAAGAGGGAACCTCTCTGGTCTGCAAAACACAGGACTTCAGTCCTGGATTTTTTTGTAAATCCATACAAAATATTGTCCATATTCCTGTAACTGTAGAGTTCCTGTTGGAAAAAGCTTATAGTTTAGCTTGTTTTTTTAAAGAAGGGGTAATCTGAGGCTGGTTGATCTTCATGTAGGCACCTAGATTGAGCCCTCCTGTATTTTTCTCTTCTCTTATGGCAAAGGTTCATTAAGAATCCTTTTCCTGGAAACGGAAGGATTTTACAGGAGGAGGTGAGAATTATACTAAGCAGACCTCAAAAGCATGCCAGCACACAGCAGTGGCAGCAAGTGAGTGGCAGAGTCCAGGTTGCTGGTGTTTGATGGTGACATTCCCTCACTGTAATAATACCTTCTCATAGTTACACTGGCCAGGGCGGCCAGGAGTCTGAGGACTATGAGAGCGAGGAGCAGCTGCAGCACCGAATCCTCACAGCAGCGCTGGAGTTTGTGCCTGAACATGGCTGGACTGCAGAAGCCATTGCAAAGGGAGCCAAGGTATGTGGGAGAGAAGCAACAAACCAGTTGAAAACTGGATGAAGCTTAAGTCCAGACAGACAGGCCTGCATGCTTCCCCCACATACTCTTGGGTGATGCAACCCAGTCAGCAAATGGAATGTGGCCCAGCTACTACAGAATAACCTTGTCAGGATTACAGTAAGGCACAATGTAAAGTAGTGATCCTAAAGAAATGAAAACGTACATGAAGTACTTTTTAATGCAGTGTTGCTTTGTTTAAATTCATATAACTTTGTTCACGAAAGAAATAAACACTTTTCACAGCTGGATCCTGCTTAGCAGTGTATGACCTGGTCTGTGCTTCTCCCTTCTTCCCTGCAGAGCCTGGGTCTCTCTGTTGCTGCTGCAGGGATGTTTTACAGTGATGGCAGTGACCTGATCCTGCACTTTGTGTCTGAGTGCAACACCAAGCTGTCTGAGCTGCTGGAGCAGGAACAAAAGCTAGTGCAGTTGGGCGAAGCAGAGTGAGTATTGGCTATGAAAAGACATCTTCCTTGGCAAACTCTGCCAAAGGGACTGGATAGACAGAGAGGCCTCCTGGGACACAGATACTTTAAGTTAAAAATTAATTTAGCCAAATAAAATCATCCTCACAGAGTTGTACAAAAGGCGTGAAGGATGCATAATACTTCACATATCTACTGCTGAGGCAGGCAAGCGATTGACCTTTCAAGTTCAGAATTGAGCTTAATTTGGACGTTCTTCACATTTGGGGTTTTTTCTTACCCAGGAAGAAGCCTACAGATCAGTTCCTGAAGGATGCTGTGGAAGCCAGACTGAGGATGCTGATTCCATATATTGACAAATGGCCCCAGGTATAAAATGAATATCAAGATTGTCTCCTTTTTCATTTGTATTTTAAACACTCTGTGACCTTCAACGTAGTCTCTCCACCAGAGCAGTTCAGGGTTGTAAATGAAACCCTCACTGGCTTCACATGATTTGCAGCCTTCAAGAGGAGAGCAGACTTGGCAGGAAGCAGTTAGAGGTGTCCTTAGAACAACAATTTCTCGCAGTTCTTGAAAAGCAAACTACTCCATTATTCACCATCTGGGATCCCAGGGGATGAGCCATGTCTGCTCAGTCCTGTTGCAATGTCACTGCAAGTCAGGCTCCTTGCAGCATTATTCTAGCTGCACCCATATCACCTGACACCTGGGAACATGGAACTCCTGCTTTGCTGCAGGAAGCTGCTTGCCCAGCTTGCAAGTGACAAAACTTTGACAACCTGAGGGCAGATCTGTGAACTGAGAGGGCTCCATGCTTCAAATTTCATATTTAAGTCTCAAGCTGTTCTTTCTGGGGTGGGAAGGGAATTGAATTTTAGCCACAGTAACAAGCAAGGAGTTCCCAACCATGGGCTGCAGAGACTGTTGCAAAGTCAGCCTCTTGTCCAGAATCACTGCTGGCTTCTGGGCAGCTGCATCCACCATTCCTTACAGAGAGAGAAGACAGAATTCATGGGTTTGTTCCAGATTAGCATAACTTGCCTTGTGAGGGATGTGAGTGGTTTATGACTCTCTTGGTCTTGTGTTACTATGTTCAAAGGCTGCAGGATCCCAGTAGGGCCATTATGAGTGGCTGTTCTGCTTTTGGTGGCTGCTTTGAGTTCAAAGTCAAATTCAGAGAAATGAGAAATTTGACTCCCTGCCCATAGGGGCACAGTGCAAGTGTGAGTCAGTTCAGGCTGTGCTGTTTCCATGCTTGGAGAGGCAGCTTGGGAGAGACAACATAGTGGGGTTCTTGCTGAGCAGGGGGCATGGAGCTCCAGCACAGGCTAAGGTTTGAGCTCAGCTGCTGCAGCATTCCAACATGTATTCCACACAAATCCTGCCACTTGGAAAGCTGAAAAGAGCAGGGAGGACTTGTCACTGGGAGCTGGAGGCAAGTCAACAGCAGCAGGGCAAAGATAACAGAGCATTGTTGGTCTGCCTTAATGTTATATCCTTCTCTCTTCATCTCTTCCATTTATCTGTGTTTCCTTTGCAGGCTCTGAGCATCCTGTTGCTCCCACGTAACATCCCGTCCAGCCTTAACCTCCTCACCAGCATGATTGATGATATCTGGCAGTATGCTGGAGACCAGTCCACAGACGTAAGTCCTGGTGCTTTACAGACTGGCTGGAGCTACCCCTCAGCACCTGAGCAAATTGATGGGTTGAAGCAGGCATTGGGGCATGTCTCTCTTGAAACGATCCTGTTGTTGAATGAGAAAGACATTTTCAGAAGCACCCAAGGATCCTTTCCAACGAGTTTTAAGAGCCAATAGGACTAAATGCAAATTAATGCCCATGAGATTAGTGCAAATTAAAGGTCTTACCTTCCTAGACAAAATTCTTGTGATTTTCAGCCTAAACCTTGATCTGTACTCAGTGCATGAGCAGTGTGTCTCTGTCACATGTCTGTTCCACCAGCAGTAGCATTTGCAGATTTGACTTGAAAACTTTTAAAGAACCTACCCAAAAATACCATCAGCTTATTAAAACTTTCATCTTTCTGTCAGGAAATGAAAGAAAATTATAACCTTAATTAAAACAATTAATAAATTACTTTAATTCATATAGATGTAGGGAGAAAGGGGAAAAGCTGAATGAACCACGTTAATAAAGTACTTTAATAAGCTGCTTTTATCTGTGTATAAAAGAGAAGCTACTGCAGTGAAAAATAAATAAGATGATAGGAAAATTAAAGGAATAAACCAGAAGAGATGTGAAAGACTGTGGCTGCATCAGGAACTGCAAGTCCCTTTTGGGTTATGAAAGTCCAATTGATGTGTCAGTTAGTGTCTGTACTGAGCTGTTCTAAAATCTCTTCACAGGCAGGATTAGGAGAGGTTCTAAAGTTTGTCTTTTTGTTGGCACCTTTGTGCCAGTTACATGAGTTTCCTTTGGGAAGCTGTGGTGCTCAGCCCCCCCCTCCTTTCCCAGTAACAGGGTTTAGTGTCAATTGTGGTGGACCCCTCGTCACCACACCAGGTGCACAGTAGAGTATGTGAGTGCCTCAGAGACCTCTTTGGGTGGGTTTTTCAGAGCAGAAGGAGAAATCAACAGAAAGCATTTGGTCTTGGGCACCTTAGAGATGGAGCTGGAAGTGGCAGCATTCTTCAAGTTTTTCCCCTCATCATGGTGCAGGCAGTGCAGAGCTTTCCATCCAGCTTGTTTTCGAAAACAAGGCCTTTGTAGTCATGAATGGAAGAGCCAGTATTTTTTCGAGGCAATAGCAGCAAATGAAGAGGAAGCCTCATTTTAAAATGTACTTATATATGTTGTCTGCCAGAGGTTCCAAGTGCAACTGGAAAAACTGAAGAGTTGAAGTTATTTGTGCCTCTTTGCATTGTGTAACCTGTTGTAACACATCCAACAGCACTGCTGCTAGCAATGTGCTGATGCATTTAGCGAGTCAGCAGGCAGTACTGGCATTTCAACGACAGGATTTGGGAAAGGTGTATCTCTGTGTGATGTCTTGCACAGTTCTGTCCCCTGTTTGTTCCCTTTCTTCATGCATGTATCTGGTACAAATTGTAGCTCAGCGCTCAGTATAGCTGTTTCTCACCTCAGATCTTTGCATTGCCTACTAGGTATCTGTAAAGCAAAGATGGGCTCAGTGCACACAGGCTCACACACAGGGAAGAGAGGATTCCTTGCAGCCAGCAGCAGGTGCTGGAGATCTTGTTCAGCAGTTTTAGATGCCGTACTTGACCTCTGTCTGATGCTATAGGAACAGCTGTGCTATCAGATGTTTGTGTTGGCTGGTGGCCTACTGCATCAGAGAGACACACATTAAGTGGGGAAGGGAATGTGCAGTTGGAATGGTGTTTTCCTTTGCCATTCTCCAGTCTGATTTCGTGGGCTGTATCCTTGATCTGCATTCAGGTCACAGCTTCCCCTCTCTCTCATTCCCTGCCCTTGTAGTTTAACTGGTACACCCGTCGAGCTGTACTCACTGGCATCTACAACACCACTGAACTGGTGATGCTGCAGGATTCATCCCCTGACTTTGAGGAGACTTGGCGCTTCCTGGAAAACAGAGTAGCTGATGCCATGAGCATGGGCAATGCAGCTGATCAGGTAACGTTACGGGCAGGGTACACATGCAGCGTCCCCCGTCTCCCCAGATACACCTGCAGACATACCTGTCTTCCCAGTTACACAGACCATTCAGCTGCAGAGAGACCACCTTGCACTGAGGGGTGGTTGCATAAATGCAATAAATCCTCTAGTAAAAAGGTATTTTCTATTAAAATGACATGTATTTTCTAGTAAAATTACGTGCCTTCTTTGTCACACTGGCCTTACGGTTTGGAGACATATATTCCCAGGAAATGTCTTCCATGTTTCTTATCTCTGGCTAACACTTGTCTGCAGTGCTTGGCTTCTGTCAAAACCTTTCCGTAGTAAATACATGTTTATTGTGCACTACGTCTCTGTACTTCTGTGTCTACAAGTGTAACTGCAAAAGGAAGCAAAAGGTGGTTGGCGTTATCCTTGTGTCTTCTAGGTACAGTCAACAGGAAAAGCAGTTGTCCAGGGCCTGATGGGAGCTGCAGTTACTGTAAGTAATGCACGGCTGTAAGGGCAGAATTATTTCTCTACCTTTCCTTGCTGAATTTCAGCATGTTTTTTCTCCCAAATCTGGAACACAGCATGAAAATGAATAATCTCTCATAACTACATGTAAGGATGATTTTATGGGTAGTTTGGTGTTAGTTCACTGTTTTGGGGTGAAGTAACTTGTAATAGAGCATAAAAAATTAAGTCTGAAGCTACAGAGTGAGCTTTAGGGATGAGAGACAAGTGATCAGAATAAATGCAAATGTTCTACATCACTTCTTGAGAGATCTCTTCCTCTGCCAGTGCCTGCCCTGGATATCTTGACGGAAGGCCCATGCCACCATGGACACTTGGGAGGTGGCACCTGTCTCCAGGCCACAGCAGGGTGATTTCCTCAAGCTGTTCCAGTTGACTGCAGTGTGCTTCCAAGAATCCTTTCATTTTTTGGTAGCATCTTGGACTGCTTTGTGTCCATGTAGAGGAAGCTGCTTTTCCTCTGGGATACAAAACAATCCTTCTTGTACCCAGGAATGGTTTTGAAGGGCTTCAGGGTCTCCCTGTGATTCTATTTTTAGACAACTCGCATTGCATTTAGCAGCAAAGTGATTTGCTTGTTATCAGAAATCCATTCTAATTTATCATTACAAGACAGGCTGGAACATAAACTAGAAATAATTTTTACTGTATGAAACAGTGCTCAAGAATTTCTCCCACCTCCTTCCCCCTGCGGTGGAATCATTTCACATTTTCAGTGTTTCTCAGCCTCTCCCTGCTTTCACATGTGCATGTGGACCCTCCACTAAAGACATTCCCAAGGTCTATGTGTGCTCTTGTACATCAGCAGATCCACTGTGCAGACGAACAGGAGGAACTGGGCTGCTTCTGATGGGGGGTTACAGGCAGTTTGTTTTAGGGCAAAATCATCCCAGTATATTAACTGTTACGGACCACAAGTCCTTAGCAGAACATTCCATGTCCCAGAGTGCTGCACAGGAGGAGTGAGTGCACAGCTGGACAGGTACACTGAGCTCATCAGGTCTCTGCAAAATGGACAAGCAAGCTGAGTCTCTCAAAAGCTTAAATTCATTGTCAGAGTCTGTGTGGCCACAAAAATAGAGTCAGCAGAGTGGTTAGACCAGGTTGCTCCAAGCCCCCTCCCGCCTGGCTTTAAACACTGCCAGGGGTGGGGCAGCCACAGCTTCTCTGGGCAACCTGTGCCAGCGCCTCACCACCCCTCACAGTGAAATACAGCCAAGCTGAAACCTTGCCTGGGGAGCAAGTTCAGGTCATAGAATGCCCGTGGGTGGATCCATGGTGATCTTTCTCCCCCGCACTTTTACGTTCACCGCTGTTCACAGAAGGTGCCTTTCGTCCCAGGCACGCAGCAGTCTTCCCCTCCTCACCGAGCTCAGGCGGCTCTTCTGAGGCCAGACTTGCTGCCCAGCAGCGCTGAAACCTTCGGGGCCGGGCAGGACCCTTCGTGCCTTGGGGAGAGGGGCGTCGCCCCGGGGTAGCAGCACTGAACCCGCTTCTCCCTCTGCCCCGCAGATCAAGAACCTGGTGGGGCTGAACCAGCGCCGGTGAGGAGAGACGCGGCGGCGCGGGAGCGGGCCCGGCCCTTCCCCGGCACCAATAAAGTCACTCTGCAGGGTAGCACGGACTCTTTCTGGGGGCGCACCGGCGGGAGCGGGGCATGCCGGGCCTGGCGGCGGGCGGGAGCGGCCATGCCGTACGCCAACCAGCCCACGGTGCGCATCACCGAGCTCACGGACGAGAACGTCAAGTTCATCATCGAGAACACGGACCTGGCGTGAGCGCCGTGCGGGCGGGACAGGGGGAGAGCCGGGCCCCGGGGGAGGAACCGGGCCCCGGGGGAGGAGTCGGGCCACGGGGGAGGAAAAGGCCCCGGGGCAGGAAAAGGCCCCGGGGCAGCAGGAGCCTGTCCCTGGGGAGGCCCGCACAGGTCCTGCCGTGCCTACGGCGCGGGCCTGTCGGTGTTTCCGAGGTAAAGCCTAGTCCGGCGGCTGCGCAGGCGGGCCGGAGAGCTGCGAAGCTTCGCGTCCCCTCATTCCTGAACACGGGTGTTTCTTCCCCTCAGGGTGGCGAATTCCATTCGGAGAGTGTTCATCGCAGAAGTCCCCATCATAGGTACCGCGTACTGCAGTCAGGCCTGTGGGCTGCTGGCCCGTCATTCTTACTGCTTCCCTTCCTTTTCCTCTTGCAGTTCCAAGCTGCTTCTAGCTCACTTCGTCTGTGTTTAGTTTGTTCTGTGTGTAACCAGAGGCTGCCTTAGTTTTGCTGCAGTCTCCACAATGTTTTCTGTGCTCTCACAAAATCCTCAGCTTTTTCCCACAGAAATTTTCAGAGAATCCCAGAATGGTTTGGGTTAGAAGGGACCTTAAAGCTCATCCAGTTCCAACCCCTGCCATGGGCAGGGACACCTTCCACTGGAGCAGGTTGCTCCAAGCCCCGTCCAGCCTGGCCTTGAACGATGCCAGGGATGGGGCAGCCACAGCTTCTCTGGGCACCCTGTGCCAGGGCCTAAGTACCCTCAGAGGGAAGAACTTCTTCCTAAGATCTTATTTCAGTGTCCCCTCTGTCAGGTTAAAGCCATTCCCCCTTGTCCTATCCCTACAGGCCTTTCTCAAAAAGACCCTCTTGAGATTTCTTGTAGCTTCTTTAGGTGTTAGAAGACTGTTACAAGGTCTCCCCTAAGCTTTCTCTTACTCTGCTTGTGACTTTCTCCTCTCTGCAGCCATCGACTGGGTGCAGATAGATGCCAACTCCTCTGTGCTTCATGATGAATTCATTGCGCACAGGCTGGGTGAGTGCTGGGTTCAGGGCGGATGTGCAGCAAGGCAAAGGTCATGAGTGAAATCAGTCTAGGGACACTGAAGCACCTTTTGCGGGAGGCTGCTGTTCCTCCAGCCATGTTGGCAGGAGGATCAGTGCTCCTGTGGCCTCACTTGGCCAGTCCCACAATTTTCTTTTTCCTATAGGTCTCATCCCACTCACTAGTGATGACATTGTGGATAAAATGCAATATTCCAGAGTGAGTCAAGCAAAATGGGGGTGCTTATTTTGATGGTGGTGGGTGTCTGATCTGATGGGAAGCGCTTTCTTGCTGGGAGAGGTTTGTCATAAAGGTCTTGACCCATGTGTTCCAGGATTGCACGTGTGATGAGTTCTGTCCGGAGTGCTCTGTAGAGTTCACCCTGGACGTCCGGTGTAATGAAGATCAGACTCGTCACGTCACATCCCGCGATCTCATCTCCAACAACCCCCGGGTCATTCCAGTCAGTGCAATCCCTCTGCTTGCCATTGAGTGCCCTCTCTATGTTCCTGTTGAGGCAGACACTTGGGATGTGGACAAAGCACAGCCTTTGAGCATATTTCATGTTGCCTAAAGCCCCACTTAAACTGCAGTGGGAGAGCAAAGCACTTACATCTGTAGAGATAGCAGTGTGTGCCAGTGCCCTCCTTTTCTTCTCCTCATTGTCCTCCACTTGCTGTCTTATGGCTTGTCAAAACAGCATGGCCTTGCTAAAGTTTCATCCCATACCCCTCATCCCAGACTCTTTGGATGCTCTAGTGTTGTTCCTCGATCTTGTGTGAAGCACTTGGAGCATGTGTGCTTGTGTCCTTCTGCTGTGTCACTGCAGCTTCCTGCCTGCTTGTGCCAGAGCTCGGACAGGAGCAGCCTCTTCGAAGGCTTGGCAGCAATCCCAGTGCCTCTGGTTCTTGATTCTTGGCACAGCAACGTGTGAGAAGCCTGTGCCAGGGCACAGCTGCCAGACTGCTTTTGCTTAGTTGCCTTGAGTAGAACTGGTGGAGCCAAAACAGAACAGGTGCAAAGGGGCATGTTTTAAGACACTATTGATGCCGGAGTTGGATGTCACCTCAGCCTGGGGCTGGTGGCATTGCCTGCCTGGTTAAAGCCTAACTGTAGCCCACTGTGCCTTGCTCCCTTTGGCTGAGTGCAATGAGTGCCATGTGTCACACCAGCAGTCTTGGGTGCTTGTCAGAACCAAGCAGCTAGGCTGGAGTACTCCATCTTGGCAGGGAAAGCAGGCAAGCTGACTGCTGGAGATGGGTGTTACATATGTAGCTGCAGCTGCCTGAATTGTCCCAATTTCCATTAAATATGGGGGGCTGGATTTGGTCTTGTAAGTCATTCCAGAATGGGTCTCTGCAGTCTTCAGCTTTTGCAGGCAACTGCTACTTGGTGTGGAGGGAATAGCTGATCTTGCCATAATTCACTTGCTTTTGTTGTTGTTCTGCAGGTAACATCTCGGAGCAGAGACAATGACCCCAACGACTATGTGGAGCAGGATGGTAAGTGATTTTCACAGGGAGGAGGAGCTGGAGGAGGGCATGAGTTTTTCTTTCAGGCTCTTTCATTCTTCCTTTAGTAGCTATGTAACCGCAGAGCAGTGGTAAGATTGGTGAAGAGAACCCAGCATCACTGGGCTTAGCAGTTTGTCTTAATGACAGTTCAAGGCTATCCCCAAAACCAAAGTCTGTGTCAGAGGGTGCTTCTGTCTCTTGTGAGAGCTTGGAGATGGCAAAGATGCAAAGTGGTTTCTGTCTGCTGTTGGCTGGGGACTGTGCATCTCTTATTTTACATAGCAGAATGCGTCCTAGATACTCTAGGGACACAGATGAGCCCCTCTGAGAATCGAAGCGATTGGATTGGATAGTCGCATCTTCCTGGGGACTAAGAAGGAATTGTGATCCTTTGCCTAGTGTGATCCTGCACACTATTTTCTCTTCTGCAGCCTACTCCAACATGCTTGTGCTTTTCCGCAGACATCCTCATTGTGAAGCTGCGGAAGGGCCAGGAGCTGAGGCTGCGAGCCTATGCCAAGAAGGGCTTTGGCAAGGAGCATGCCAAGTGGAACCCCACGGCCGGTGTCGCCTTTGAGTACGACCCAGACAATGCGCTGAGGCACACCGTGTACCCCAAACCAGAAGAGTGGTATGTATGGAGGGACTGGGAAAGATAATTTGGGTCAGCAACTGACCATGAGCGTGCCTGTAACTTCCCCTTGCACAGACTATGCTCCAGTGTTAGGGTACCAAGGCCAGTCCCTTGGTTGCAGCTGCATACATCTCCCCTCCTGTGCTGTCACTGCTGTTTTACCTCACTTTCGTATTCTTTCCCACCACTTTTTCCTGCTTTTTCTTCCCTGCACAAGTGGCATGTAGGCTAGGGTAAAGTCTAAAGAAGAAATAAATCCACACAAGATGGAAGAGGTTGTTATGAGAGCAAAGAGCATAACATTAGGTTGCAAGGCTGATTTTGCAGCTCTGAGGAAGCCCAGTGTGTGGCTCTGATCTCTCACATGCATCTCCTAACTCCTGGAGCCTGAGCTCTGACAGCAGGGTTTTCCTCTCTGGCCCTTTCCTCTGCTCTGACATACCATCCTGCACAGGTACCATGCTGCAGCACATCTAAAAGTTACATGATTTTGCTCTTGGAAAGCTGCTGCCCTGGTTTGGCCAGGGCAAGGACTTTACCTAGCGGCACTTTTCCATGAGTGTGGAGCTCCATACATCAGCTTTTCTCCCCACACCTGAGCTCTGCATCCCAGTGTTCACCAGGCAGGCATCCTGTCATTGAGCACTCTGCAGCCAGCAGCGGGGTGAGGACCTGGGTGCTTTAGCCAAGGCAGGCTGTGAGCAGGGACAAGGGGTGGTGGATATGCTGCTGTAACAGCAGGGCAACAGCCAGAGGTTAGGGAGACCTTGGTGCATGAGCAGGATTTGGTGCAGGGTCTGCAGAAGCAGAGCTGCAGCTGGAGAGGAGGTGAGTGGCAGAAGGGGTTCAGCGGGTCTTCCTCCTCTTGCTGCCAGATTTGTCTCTGCAAATGACTGCAAGCAGTGGCAGGCAAGTGGCAGGCTGTTGTTCTTCCATGTTGCCCATTTTAAACCTGGGTGCTTGGACCCAGAACATGGGATTACACAGAATATGGATTGCAGAACATGGCCTCGTGCTCAGTTAGCTATCTGTGAATGCGCTGCCCAGAGGGGCAGTTAGCCTGGATTTCCACCTCAGCCTGACTGCCAGGGGCTTTCTGCTTAGGAGCTGGCCTGGAGATCCTGTGTAGCTAGGTTTGCACTCTGGAGACTTGAGAAGCCTTTTGGTGCTGAGGGTGGAGGTGAGGGTGAGTCCGTAACATGCATGAAGTGGGCTGGGACCTGCCTGCAGCCATCCCAGTCCTGTTTTTGGGATGGAAGGAGCAAATATTGCTTGGCTTTGATGGGGTCTGCAGGGCATGTTCGTGGGTCCGGTTAGGGCAGTTTGGGTGAGGATGAGATGTGCCAGGTTTTGGGCTCCTTCAGCATTTGGTCAGGGTGGTACTCTGGGTTCTGCAGTAGGAACCAGGCTGGCTGGTAGTGCTGGAAATCTAGGAGTGGGCATCTTCCTTAGTATTGATGGGCTGTACATGTGGACTGAAGCTGGATTTTGAGACCTGCCAGCTACAGACCAGGCTGTCGGGGAGATAACCCATAAGGACTGTGATGAGGTGGTGCAGTGTGGAGGAGGAGGATGCTGCTCTGCAGTTTTGTGCACAGGAGTATGTCACAAGAGTTTGCATGCCAGACTGTACTTTTTCACAAGCAGTTTTCGGGTGGAGCTGAATAATTTTGAAATTCCAAGATAGGCTTTTTTTTTTTTTTTAAATTATTTGTAGCAGATAAATTGCCCCACAGTTTAGCTGGTGGTCTGATAGATGTATTGTATGCTTGAGAAGCAGAAATGTCTCTGTGATGTGGAATTTCAAGTTGGAATTTGAAATCCGTTTGGGCTTCATTTGGTGCTATAAAAATTCTGTAATTTCTACTGGAGAGGGTCCAGTGGGGGCCACAAGGATGATGCGGGGTCTGGAGCATCTCTCTTGCAAGAAGAGACTGCAGCAGCTGGGCCTGTTTAGTCTGCACAAGAGCAGACCTAGAGGGCATCTCATCAGTGTAGATCATATCTTGGGAGGATGGTGCCAGACTCTTTTCAGTGGTGCCCAGCAACAGGACAAGGAGCAATGGCCATAAACTGAAACACACAAAGTTTCACCTCAGCAAGAGGAAGAACCTCTTTCTATTGAGGGTGGCAGAGCCCTGGAACAGTCTGCCCCGTGGATTATGGAGTATTCCTCTCTGGAGACATTCCAGACCCACCTGGGTCCTGTGTGACCTTCTCTAGGCAACCCTGCCTTAGCAGGGGGTTGAACTGGATGATATCCAGAGGTTCCTTCCATCCCATATGATTCTGTGATTCTGTGAAGCTTGACATTAGAGCTCTCTGTTCCTTGATGATATATCCGTCTTTCCAAGCTCATCTGATTCCTGTGAGGACAATACAGAGACAAAGGCTTCTGCTGTCCAAGGCTAGCTGTTACTTTTGGTTTGTTTTTTCATGCTAGTTGCTTTTGGAGGCTGTTGGCAGAGCACTGGCATACAGCTGGACTCTCAAAACAGCTGTGGTGGAAACCTCTGCCCTGTTTTCAGTCATAGGTGGTTCTGCAAGTAACATGAACACCCAGCTGTATTGACACATTATCTCTCTCAGTTACAGAGACAGGATTTGTTACAGAGGCAGGATTTGTTGAAGAAGTGCAGTTTTGAGGCAGCTCATGGCAGGGTGCTCAGATCAGCCTTGCTTGCTATTGCTGGGGCAGAGGAAGGCCAGCAGGAGACCTTGGCGTGCACAGAATTTTCTGTGCTGGCTTTTCAGACAGCTCAGGGCTTTGGATTTTTAATTTTTTTTTATGTGGAGAAAATGCTTCCAAAAAGTCTCTCTGGTATGGTGTCCTATAAACCAAGGGATGCAATGGGGAGAAAGACGTGTTGGCCTAGCTGAGGCACAGGTAGTGCAGTGGTTTTGGTAGTGACATGTGTAGAAGGGTGGAGGTGGAGGTCATGGGATGGGGCTCACTAATGTAGCTGAGGTCAAATACAGGAGATTTTTTTTCCTGCTGGGCCCAAGCTGGCCAGACCTTCCCATCTCAGCTGTCCTGCCCAGGTTGAGTGTTGGAGTGCTCCCGTGTTTTCCTGGCCAAGTGAAAAGTAGAAAGAAAAGATGATTGCTCCAAAACCAGCATCCAGGCTTCTCCATAAAGAAAGTCCCTGCAGACATCACTGTCCCTTCGCTTTAGGCACCTGCCAAATTGTGCCAGTGTAGGTGGATGGAGCCACAGTACCCTGCACAGGCTCACTAAACTGGGGCAGGGCAGGGCTGATCCTCTTCCTGCAGCACCACTAGGTGCCTATGTGGCACTAGTGAACAGCCAGAAAGGGCAACATGAGACTGAGCTTTTCTCTGGGACATGGTGCTTCATTACTGCTGGATGTCAGCCCCTGTGCTCACTCTGGGGCTGAGCAGTGCTGCTGAGAGCCTGAGCTCCGTGGGGCCAGGCTGGAGTGTGGGCTCTGTGGTAACTTGTCCTGCTCTTTGATTCCAGGCCCAAGAGTGAGTACTCGGAGATCGATGAGGAGGATGCTCAAGCTCCCTACGATCCCAATGGGAAGCCAGAGAGGTGGGAAGCTGAATATGTTACTGTAGCTGCAGAATGGGGTAACTAGCAGGGTCCATGTCGTCAGCTTTTGTCAGTGCAGGAGTACTCGCTCTGTGCTGAAGTTTGCCTGCCCAGGGACCTGGTGTTCCCGGAAAAGCAGGGTAAAAGATGGAGTTAAGTGGTGATATGCCCAAGCCTGGTAGGTTTTCCCCTCTGGGAGGTATTGGATGGCTGTCCCGAGTTTGTGTTCTCAAGCTGGGCAGTGTGGCACTAGGTGGAGTGTGAGGCCTACAGTGGAAAATGGCTTCAGACATTTATTCACCCGTGTGAATGTCTCATGCTGTGATTGCTGGTGATATCCCTCTCCTGGGTTATTTGCACTGCAGGGGTGCCTGCAGCCAGCCTTACTCCCTGGTGTGAGGCTCTGTGCTGGCTCACGGGTTATGGTCCTGAACAGAAATAAACTTAGAAGTGCTCCTGCAGCCTGTGAAGCCACAAGAGTTGGTGTGACAATGGCAGAGGGGCAGTGCTGGCTGTTGCTGCTGGGGAGGTGAATGATGCTGGTGGCTGGGATTCCAAGCAGATCTCCCTGCAGTGGGTCAGGACAGGCTGGAACAGCTCAGCAGGTGCTTTTTGGTTTTGCACCTCGTCACAGAGCAGATGGTGACTTAACCCACCAGCTTGTAACCTCAGGTTTTACTACAACGTGGAGTCCTGCGGTTCTCTGCGCCCGGAGACCATCGTTCTTTCTGCACTCTCTGGCCTGAAGAAGAAACTGAGTGACCTCCAAACCCAGCTGAGCCATGAGATTCAGAGTGATGTCCTCACTATAAACTGAGGTGACGCCTTTCAACAAAGTGCTGCAGGAGGTCTTTGCCTCTGCCCAGCAGTGCTCTGTATCCCTCATCTCCCTCTGCCTTTTCTGGCCCAGGTCTGCATGTCAGGTGACATCTCTTCCCTGGTCTTCCTTTCCAAGGAATGCCATCATAATGTCTAGGGTAAAGCAGAAAGGGAATTGGTGAGCATCTTGGCTGGGACAGGCTTTTTTTTTCAGTGTTTTAGAGTTTTAGGCCAGAGTTTGCCGATGCAGCAGTGTACCTCAGTTACTCAACCCTACCTTGTCCATTCTTACTATGCTTAATAAAGCCTTACCCCCTTCCCTGTGTTCTGTCATCTCTGAAAGCTCCTCGGGGGCTGCAGGAGGAGAAGTCACATCATCTACTTCTCTCCAATAGACATTAACTTAATGAGATCTCCTTTGGAGAGACCATTGCTCTCTGCTGCTGATTGCTGCTCTTGACATTATCTCCTAAGGAGACCAGACCCCTCCAGCAGGTAGCTCATCATTTACCGATGCAGAGCTGTGTTTAAATTAAGCAAATGTTTGATACTGGGCTGTGAAGGGAGATGCTGCAGAAAGCAGTGCTGCAGGGGAGCCCAGGTGGGCTGGGCAGGCTTAGCTGCATTTAAAAACTGTGAAGCAGACTCTACCCATGTTCTCTCCTAATCTTTATGTTAGGAGAAGGCATGGCAGGGAGCCTGTCACTAATAACCCCTGGCTGACAGCTTCCTGTCTGCCCACAGCCCCAAGGTGGGTTCCATGGCATGCTGGAGCTTGGTGTAAGTCCCAGACCGTGACCACTGAGGCAGCAGCTTAAGGGCTTCAGCAAATGTCTGGGTCAGCCCTTCTTGTTCCCTCCCTCAGCACCCAGAAGGACTTGGGATAAGCTGCTTGGTGACATGCTCCTGGAGAGATCTGTCTCTTCCTTACTGCAGCGGCTGGGAGGGAGGGAAAATGCGTGTGTGCCACAGTGCTTATCCCAGCGTGAATGCAGGGCAGGGGGACAGCTTGGAGAGCAGGGGTGGGTGCTCATGCTGGGCTGGAGAGAGCAGCTGGAGTCAGTGCTGTTGTTGCTTCCATGTCCTTGCTGTGGCAGAGCCAGCTCCCTACAACCTGTCCCTATGCCTGGAGAGAGCACTGCCCTGACTAGCATGGCTCTAACCTTGGAGCCAGTCATGTCATGGGTCACTGAACTGGGAGAGTTCTGGAAGAGCTGGGAGATGGAGTGGCTTGGAACTCTTTTGCCTGGGGATGCAGAGCCACCACTGCTCTGGGCCATCCTCAGAGCCATGGGCTGCTGGAGGTGAGGGGTGGCAGTGGGGTGCTGGCATCCTGCTTTACTTGGGATTGTTTAATGGAGGGTAGCAGCTGCCTCCACCTTTCTCCCCTCCCCACCAGTTTTAGCCTTCACTTGGAATGTCCCGACCATGGCTGGAGGCAGAACAAAGCCCTGAGCTGAACACACTGCCAGCTGTGGTAGGAAATCTCCCCACATCAGCACTTTTCTCTCTGGCAGACACTTGGACTTCCGAGTGTGCTTGGATGGAACAGACACACAGGAAGGGTGGATAAGGGTTGTTTATTCATTGAGCAACTCCTTAAAAATGAAGAAAGGAAACCCAAGCATTTTTGGTAATAAATGTTAAATCCTTTCAAGATGAGGTGTGTAGCCAGGAGTGACACCTCTCCCCAAGGGAGGACATGCGGCTGGGAGCACCCCTTCTCCATCCCACCACCCCTCAGCCTCAGCCACAAGCTACACCAAGCCAAGAGACAGTATTTACAGACCACAGGTTCCCACATCACAACACTCCCGCCCCTCAAGCACAGACATGGAGCTTTAAGGGTGGAAATAAACCCACCAACCACCCAACCCAGACTGAAAGAAGACTCCAAAGAAACATGAAGGTTTGCACAGCGATAAAAAGATAGCCCTTCTAAAGGAGGTCAATAAATAGAACTAGGAAAAAATCAATTGCTTTTGAGTTCAGCACATGATGCCCAGCTCCCCGCCAGGAAAGGGCTGTCACCCACCGGCGGGCAAGGAAGGAGCAAGGACAATGGGAATGCACAGAAACACAGCTCTCCCCTGCTCTGCCCAGGGAATAATTATAGCCACAAAGCTGCCCCTCAGGAACATATGCTGCTGGCCAAAATGGGTTCCTAGGTTGCCCACCAGCAGCTAAAGCAGGGACAAGGCCAAGGGGGGCAGCTGGGGGGTGCTGAGGTGAGGAGCTGGGCTCTGCCTGGCTGCTCACCCTACCAACCCCCAGAGGAAAAACAGGTTCTCCTGAGGCATCCCAGTTCTACAGCGAGTGCTTCAGTAGCTTTGAGAAGTGCAAAACTCAGCTTGGGGGTGGTGGGGTGTCTCCAGGAGCACCCCACTCTCATGGGGGGGGGGGTGAGATGCTGGGACCCCACACCTCAGCCTGGCACAGCCACAGCCTCCAGTGCTGCTGTGGTGCTCCAGCCCTCCCACCTAGCAGAAACACATGGAATTTCTTGACCCCCCTGTTTCTTTGCCACCTCCCAGCCGGATCCCCAAAAGAGTCGAAAACCTATGAGCATCTCTGCCCAAGGGCTCTTCAGCGGCTGCGAAGTTTGCATTCATCTGAGAAGGAAAATCCACTTATAATACAAATATTCAAGATAAATTTCAAGTCAGGGGAGGCTGAGCCAGTGTCACCTCCAGTAACATCAGGCAATGAGCCAGTGCCGGCTCCCCAAGGACCTGGCACAGAGGGTGACCCTCGGGACCCACAGGGGCAGCTGCCTCTGTCCTTGCCACCCCTTGGGGAAGAAAAAGGGGGACCCCACCACCACATCCCCCCCTGCCAGCTCACGGGGACGATGTGGGCTCCCTGCTTTCAGGCTGGTCACTTTTGGAGGACTTTGGCTTCAGCAAGATGAACCTGTTGAGGAGGTCGGTGTCTGAGCTAGCCTGGGCGCCCGCATACACCTCTCCTGGGGACAAAGCAGAGAGTGGGCTCCCCTGGGGGGTTGCTGCAAGGCTGCAGGGGCGGCAGCTCCCCAGGGAGGCCAGGAATACTCACCAGCATAGCTGGAGGACTCAGCCATGTTCTGGGAGCCGGTGATGTGGTGCCAGTACGCACTGCGGGGCAGCATGGTGGTGGGAGTGCAGGGGTAGGAGAAGTGCTCATTGCCCTTGTTCAGCAGCTGTGGTGGAGGAGACAAGGGTGAGGGTAACACCCGGCACCCCAAGTTGCCCCCCAGCTGCGTCCCCACGAAGCACTGGAGCTCACCCTGGCATTCTTCTCCATCTCCAGCAGGACCCTCTTGTGCTGCTCAGCGATGGCCAACGTGGCGCTGTGCACACGCTGGTAGATCTGCTCGCCCTCCTGTGTCTGGAAGGTGTAGAGACCTTCCCCTGCATCACACATCCTGCAGGGATTGGGCACAGGATGTCACTGGGGTTCACAAGCCCAAGGGATGATAAAACATACCACCCCTAATGGCAGCTGCTCCAGCTCCCCATACTTCCAGTGCTGTCCCTGCATTCCACCCATGATGCTGAGCTGGGACCAGCACCAGCTCCAAAATTCCCTGGCCATGGGGTACCTGATGCAGGCCATGGCCATCAACCCAGTGTCAGGCCCGCCCTGGCAGCAGTTGCCACCTCCTGTTGTGCCCAATAGGACCCTGTGGTGGTCCCTGTCCCAGCACAGGTGACATCTCACCTTCCCGCCTCAAAGGTGAAGCGGGTGGTATCGCGCCCGTAGCGGCGCAGGGAGCAGAGGGGCCAGGAGAGCAGCTTCACCCGTGGGTTGTGTGCATCCCAGAGGTAGATGTTTTCATGGGTGATCTGCAGCTTGCACTCGCCATAAATGTCGAGGTTGGGGCAGGGGAGGAGGAACACGTTAAACCGGTCTGGAGAGGGGAATAAAAGATAGAAAATGGCTTGTGGGGGGTTGTAGCACGGCCGAGCCCCGCGACCGCCTGACGCTCCATGCTCACCCGTCTGCTCACTCTGCACACCGGGCGCCAGCAGGTCGGGCTCCCCCAGGCTGATGTCATTCAGGCGGGCACCCAGGCACTCCACTGACAGCGTCTTGTACCACTCCTCTGCCTCCAGCTCTGCAAGGCACCACAGAGCCCCTGGGCAACCCCGGCCAGCCTCGGGAGTCCCGCCAGCACCCCCAGACCGTTCCCCTGGGTGCTGCCCCTACCCGAATCACAGGTGAAGGTCCGGACTGAGTCATCAGTGAAAAAAATGGCCACAGCCTGTCTCTTGGTCTCCTTGGGCAGCCGAGTGATGCACTTGACATTGCTGATGTCAGTGACCTGTGGAGGAGGTGGGGGGGCACCCCAGGCTGTACCCAGACTGTAGTTCCTGCTGCACACCCAGACCCTCGTTCCTGCACCCAGACCCTGCTTCCATTGCACCCAGACCCTGGTTCCTGCACCCAGCTCCAGCAGCATCCCACTGAAGTGCACGTGGTGACAGGCACCCAGCTCCAGCCCAGCAAGTCCAGGTCAGGACGGACTCAGAGAGTCATGGGGTCCCCCCATTCCCCCAGGACCCCTCACCTTTGGGCACCCACACAGGCATGCCGACTTCTCATCCGGGTACTTCTCGAGGCGCTGGGGCCCTTTGCTGGAGGACTTGCGGAAGACCAGCCAGCACCGCCGATAGATCTGTGACACAGCATGGTCTGGGGGTACTTGTCCCCAAGGCCCCATCCATCCTTGCCCCGCGCCCCTCCCACTCCTCCTGACCCTCGGGACAGGAGGGGATGCTGGCATTGGGGATATCCCAGAGCTGCCATCATCCCACCCCTGCCAACGCTAATTACAGTGCTTAACTAATGAGCATGGACAAGGCTCCCAAGGGGACATGCCATCCCAGCATCTCCCCTGCCCCTCTCCTGCAGCTGCTGACTGAGGATGGCAGGGCCATATCCCCAAGCTTATCTCCCCCTTAAGCCCGCTCCTTCTTTGTTCTCCCTAATTAGCGTGGAATTACCCAGCATGCTCGTTGCTGCCGGCTCCAAGCGATGGTGGGGGCGAACAACCCCCCGACCCCCAACCTCTGGATGCTGCACTCCTTCACCCCCTAATTCACACTCAGCAATCCCCCCCCTTCCACTCCCCCACCCCCCAGCATGGGGCATTCGCAGTGCTAAAACTGGGTCTGCAGGGAAACTGAGGCATGGGAGGGGGCTCAGGGACACTCCCTAGCTCCCATGGTGATTGTTTCCACTGTCGGGGGGGTGCCACTGGGCAAGATCGGGGCCTCTGAGGCTCATGGATCATCTGGGAACGAACAAGTGACAC